TTCAAAATTTAACCCTTACACAATATTCTAATTTTGTGACAAACGGAATTTTGGATTTTCATTTGTTGCCACTTCAAATCATCAAAATTAAATGAAATAAACATTTGAATGTGCAATGAATAAGTATAATGTAGAATTTACACCTTTTGAATGCAATTACTAAAATAAGTAAAGTTTTTCAAAATATTCTAATTTACTGGCTTTTACCTGTATAATTACTGATTTAAAGGTCAGCTCTTTTAAGCCAGTTGATGTGGTTTTGACCAATCAGGGACTGGATGTGGTTGCTTCAGCGACAATCAAAATGGAAGATAGAAACCATCATGTCTTTAAAGAATGAAGTCAGAGGTGACCTTTAGAGGTTTGTGGATTGTTTTTAACCCTTTCCATCATTCCTCCTCCTCTTGGGGTTCTAAAACAAGGCAAGTCTAATAATATCATACGTGATATAGAGATTGTTTCCTTTCATACAGCTTCAGGAAACATCTGGATTTAGACATTAGAAAGAGTCCTGCTTCCCTCCTCTGATACAACATCCAGCTGGTTGGTTGGACTGAATCCTCTAACATGATTGTGAGAAACTTGAATAGTAGTTCTTACCTTCCATGAAACACCTTCTCCACATAGGCCTTCATGAACAGCCTTCTCTCCATCGTCTCAGCGTCGTCTTCCTCACCGCTGTGAGCAGATGACGAAGACGACCTCCTCAGCTCCCATTTTAGAGATGGGGGGTTCATGTCGTTCTCGCTGTCTGCAGACTCTGTGGCCTCGCTGTCCTCGTTGGGTGGCTCCTCTGGGCCTGAGGCTTTGGCTTTGGTCTGGTCCAGGGGGTCTGGTAGTAACAAGGTCTGCTGGGCGGAGGAGGGGCATTGATACTGAGGCTCTATGCAGAGACACGAGGCCCCTGGCGGCTGATCACAACCGACCAGATGGTCCATGTTGGAGTTTCGTCCGTCTCTGTGTAGGAACTCAGAAGCTAGCCTCTATAGAGCTAGTTATCTGTGAGCATGAACATGGATCAGCTGAGCAGAACCTCCTTCCTAGGTCTGAATGATCATCTCACTCCCAGAAGACTCCAACATCCAGCGAAAACGATCATCTGTGGACAGAACAAAAACAGTCAACATCTGCAGCGTCTGCATGGAGATATAAGCTAATGGAGAAGCACATGGTCCAAACAGACGCCTCAACTGATCTGTAGAAACCATGGAGGAGGCCAAAGCTGGGCCAGATGTTACCCAAAGATTTGAGAACTTCTGAGGAAATGCAGTATCAGAAAAGTAGAAGGTTTAAGACAAAGACATCAGGAGGTCCAGATATCAAGAGATCCAGACATCAAGAGATCCAGACATTAAGAGGTCCAGACACTAAGAGGTCCAGACACCAAGAGGTCCAGACATCAGGAGGTCCAGACATCAGGAGGTCCAGACA